TCTGTTTCTGAATCTTAGCCTCTTATGTCATCTCTGTGTGGCCTGGTTGAACCCAGACACAGTTCCTTCACCCATTTCCACCAAAAACGTCCACATGCACCAAGCGTGGAAGGAGCTGAGGGGGAGCGTTCTCTAATGATGTCAGGGTTGTCAGGAGGGCCCCTTCCTCATCTTACTTACTCCTTCTCTTCTTTCTCCTCACCGCATGACTCCTAGATTGCCCCCAGGAGGTGCAGGACCACTTTCCCTGTGACAGAGGCTTAGAGGCCAGTCAGTCCCTTGTCCCTATTGGGCTCAACTCATATCCCTGCATTAGCAAAACTTTTCCCGTTGTACCAGAGTTAAGATTAGATTCAACCAAAAGAGAAGGTATTTCCCTCTCTGGTTACAGAAGCCCAGACACAGGTAGACACTGGCTTCACAGAGGCGTCAAGGACTTACACACCTTCTGCTCAGTGCCCTGCCACCTGTAATGCGCCGTTCATCCTTATGGCCCAGGAGAGCTGCTGGAGCTCCAGTGACCACATCCCCATTCCAGGAAGCAGAGTAGGGGAAGGTGCACCCCATTCCTTTTAAGGAGCCTTTCTGAAAGTCCCAAGTGTTGCTGCCATTTCTTGTCTCATTGGCCAGGACTTAGTCACATGGCCATGCCTAGCTGCTAGATTGTGGAACTGTGGGTGAAGGAGAGAAAGGGGTGTTACATTGGGAGTCGTAAGCCCTCTTGACCCAGAGAATTCCAGGTGCAGCTGTGAGTGTAATGACAGCTGTTGCACAGAATAGCTATGCGTCTTTGTACTGTGCTCGTACCAACACCTATAGCAGCACTGTTCACAGCAGCAAGAAATTTCATGTAGACGTTTTTGGCCTTGTCATAGTTGCTGGGCATGTAGGTTATCTCCAGTCCTGTTGCACACACCGGTGCTTTGGCCTGTCTTGTATTCAATGCATGGATTTTGGTGACAGGACAATCCAGACGGCCTTTGACATGTCCAGGGCGAGCCCAGCATTTGATCTTCTGGAGAGGATCCCCGGGTGGCCTGTGCTCTTATCCCCAGGATCTGTGCCTCGTCTGTGTGTTTGCTAGAACTTGGCAGCCCATGTGTGTTGACTCACTTCCAGAAAGCCCTGTCATCTCTGCCAAAGCTAGTAGAGTAAAGACAGGTGCTCCGGTCATGGATTCAAGTTCTCCCAGCACCACCCAACTCTGTGACCCACCAGACGGACTTTGAAAGAGTTAGCCATCTCAGCCTTGAAATTGCAGGGGGCCTTGGGCACCCAGCAAGAGAACGTAACCAGTGACCTTAAGGACATGGAGAGGAGATGGGGGAGGGAAGGGAGATCTCTACAGCAGCAGATCAGGGAAAGACTTGTTCCGTTGCTTCTGCTCAGCTAGACCCTGCAAATGGGTGGTATCCATGTTGCCGATTTCTTTTCTACTCAGCCTCTGTGAAAGACACCCAGTAATTATTAGCCAATCTGTGGCTTGACCCATATCCACTCCCCAAATGAGGAACGTTAATATCCTGGGCCTTTCGTCAGCCGCCACGTGCTCCATCCCAGCTATCTTACAGTAATAATTACCAGGGCTTGAGCATGAGAGAAGGCATGTGTCTTAAGAAAGGGACATGTGACCCCCATGGTGACAGCAGGCCCTTCATTCATCAGGGTTGGGGTCCTTGTCCAAAGCAGACTTTGTTCCAACCTCGGCTGGCCCCCCTGTTCTTGGTAAATAAATAGCTGAGGAAAAGCCACCGGGAGATGTTGATTTGTGAAGGGGTAATTTGTTTTCAAGGCAAGTCAACAGCTGTGAACTTGGGGGTTTACCACTTCAAGTGAATTAGAAGTAAGCCACTGTAAAACTGGCTCTGTGGGGCTGTGGCTGACTGCCCCTGGGACTCTTCCTCTCCGTTATTTGGGTTGGCGGCAGATGTTTGCCGTAGTTAATCTGAGTGCCCCTAGCCACCCACCCACCCACACGTAATGTATCGAGTTAGGCTGCTTCCTGAGAACGCCACGTTCGTTAATCCTGCAGGGTCTCTCAGCAGACAGACTGGGGGGTGGGTCGGTGGGGAAAAGACTCTACAAAGAGGAAGCCGGAGCCCAGAGGTGACCCTCCAGGCTTGGAGCCTTACGCTGCACCCAGCTGGTATCCAGTAACACACTGGTATCAACACATGTTCCATAGCCCCCAAAACAGGAGGATCTGGCTAGGGGTGTAAATAGAGTCCCTGACCTTAAGGACTGGGGAGTTCATTAGATTGTAGGCCCTTTGACTGCTGGCTGAAAGGTTGGCCGTTCAGAGCCACCCAGAGGCACTTTGGGAGACAGGCTTCACGACGCTTCTGAAAGGACACAGCCCTGAAACCCCTGTGGAGCAGTTCTACTCTGTGCTCATGGGGTCCCCATGGGTCAAAATCTACTCAGTGACAGCAGCGGCAACAACATAGGGAGTTGGTCCCTAGACAAAAGTAATGTCACACCAGCCTCAGTCCAAAAAATTAGTCCAAAGACTGTACTTCTATACAAATAGCACCCTTCCTCATTTCTTTTCAAGCATTCCCTCCCCCAAGTATTTTTGTAAACGCACTATGCTAATGTTTCTTAACATATGTTTAAAAAAAAATTGGCGTAGAAGCCCTTATGAGAATACCTGGGGTAGGGGAGGTTGGCAAACGTATTTTTCGCACGTGTGTAAATCAGCAGGTAAGTCCCAATGAGGGTGACAGAGCACAGGTCCCCAGCCCTGCCCCACCAAGCGCTGTGCCTGCCAGTCTGTGGAGGAGGGAGTTGCAGGGCCTTGCCCAGCGTCCCACAGCCCGTGAGTGAACTCATTCAGCTCGGAACCCAGGCTTGCCAGCGCCAGAGCCCACTCTCGACCCTCTGCACCAGGGTTAGCACACTATCTCTGTCGAGGCCCAGGTAGTAAAACACGGTCAGCTTTGTGGGCCATGAAGTCTCTGTGGCAACTGCTCACCTCTGTTGTATGAAGGCTGCCACAGATAGTGGGTAAACGAAGGCTTCTGGCTGTGAATCAGTCAGACTTTATCAAAACAGACAGTGGGCTGTAGTTTGCAGACCCCTGCTCTGCGTGACAGCTGCCTTCCTGAATTCTGAGAAAGGTGAAGACAGGGTTTGGGGAGAACCTTGAAGAAAAGCCGGCGGGATCCAGCCAGTGCAGGCAGTGTGAGTGAGGTCTGGAGTGAGTGTGCAAACAGTGGCAGGGCTTGGTGTGAGTGGCCAGGAGGGTCACGGTCCCTCCTCTCAGCTGCCCTATCCTGCTGCTCGTTTCTCCATGATGGCAGTTCTTGCCTAGCCTCCAGGGGCTGTAGCAGAGACCGCATGGTCTGCACGGCTCGGGGGTCGTCCACGAATATTCCTTCTGTGAGCATTTCTGTGCATTAAGTGACTGAATCAGAAACTGCAGCCCTTTTACAAAAACAGGCAGAAGCCGAGGTTACAGAAAGGCTCGCCTGGGCTATGCTGTAAAGGGCGGCACGTTTTTTTGTGTTTTTTTTTTAATTTTTATTGTGATTTGGGTGAAAGTTTACAGAGCAAATTTACTTTTCATACAGCAGCTCATGTACACTTTGTCTCATGACATCAGCTGTAATTTCCCACAGTGCAACAGCTCCCCTCCCACTTCCTCCTCATAGCTACCTCTTCCCTGTGTCCATCCCTCCATGCACTGCTGCCCCCCGAGCTGTCTCCCTGTGCATACACAGCCCTTCTATTCTCCCATGATTGATCTCTCCAAGGAGTGTATCTACCTCAGGTAAAATGTTCAGCTCATATGCCTGTCTTTTGTTTGGCTGGAAGCCATAGGAGTGGGTTCAATTCCAGACCTGAAGGGCAGCTAGGGGTCATAGTCTTAGGGATTCTACCAGGTTCGCTCAGGCCAGCAAACCTGGTCCTTTTTTATTTTTTTTAATGATTTTGAGAAAGGCGGCATGTTTGATGCACTCTCACCACATGCCCACCTTTGGGACCAGGTGCCCTCCAGTACCTCACAGTAGTTCCGAATGGAGCTGATACAGCTCCTAGAGAGGGAAGCTGAGACTCAGAGAAACACGACAACTGGTTGCTTGCTCCAGAGCCTCTCCAAGACACTAGGTTTGGCCCAGGTCTGTGGCTCTGCGAAAGAGCTCTGGTGGCATAGTGCCTAAGGCACTTGACTGCTAACCAGAAGGCTGGCGGTTCAAACCCACCAGCCACTCCTCGGAAGGAAGATGGTTGTTGTATGTGCCACCGAGTTGGACCCGACTCATAGCAACCCCTTCTTGGGTTTCTGAGGCAGTATTACTACAGAAGTACATTGCCCAACCTTCCTTCCAAGGAGTGGCTGGTGGGTTTGAACTGTCAGCCTTCTGGTTAGCAGTCAAGTGTCTTAGGCACTACACCACCAGAGCTCCTAAAGGAAGATTAGGCAATCTAATTCTACAGAGATACTGCCTCAGAAACCCAAGGAGGGGTCACTGTAAGTCAGATCCCACTCCACGGTAGCGAGTTTGGTTTGCATGGTTATGGCTCTGCGACATAGGCCCACACGGTTCCGGCCTCTAATCCTGCAGCATGCTGAGGCCATTCACAGCTCTCCACTTGGTAACTTTCCACCAGAACGTTTGTTCCTGCTGGACCTGACCTCACTGGTCCCGAGGGCAGAGCAAATCCTCCAGGGCTCTCTCCCCCTTCCCAGGAGTGGCTTCAGGGCTTGGGTCTGGCGCCTTCTCGGGCAGAACGCTGGCACGTTAGCCCCACGTTTTGCCATGAGGAAGTCTGGCACCCCTGTCTGAACTTTGCCAGAAAGGCTTGATCCCAGTGTAGCTCATTCTGTGGATCAGACCCGGGCTTTCAGGGAGTGGGCTGATGTGTTTTCAAGCAGCCCCTAGTCCTGCCTTTGAGGTGGACTGAGTTGGGGGTGTGGCACCCCCTTTCCCCTGCCCAGCCTCCCCTTGCCTGGCCCACATGCTTCCTCCCCAGTCATGCTGTACCTTGTCTTACAGGTTTTGCTGTGGCCCAGTGCATAAACCAGCACAGCTCACCACCCCTGTCCTCCCCATCACCACCATCCACCAGCGGGACCCCCAGTGGTAGCGGTACCACCAGCCACTGCGACTCAGCAGGCGTCAGCTTGTCGTCCACACCCTCTGTGGCCCAGAGCCCATCAGGTACTGGCCGCATTTTCCAGGGTAGGGAAAAAATCGGGACACCGTGCAGGGCATTGGGGACCTCGTAACCACTCACTCTGCAACCACTGACAGGAGGTGGAGGAGGCTGCCCTGTGGGGGTGTCTGTCACTCTCCCAGGAGCATGCCCAGGGCCAGCAGCTCAGCTCTTGCTTTTGGCTGGCCCACTGCTAGGCCCCACCAGCCACCGAATGGGTGGATGGCTGGGGGTATGCTGAATCCACCTACTGCTGCTTCCCTCGGTCTCAGGACATAGGAGAAGGGCTCTCCCAAGGACAGTCGTTTGAACTCCAGGAAGAGAATGTCCGTGCTAATCCTTCTTCCTCCATAACACATAGCTTCCTCTTTAATGTTTGATGTGATCCAGCTCCCTGTGACTTTGTCTGCATATGGAGGGTGTGCCGACCTTGCAAACAAGAGAGCGCCTTTCCGTAGCCCATGTGGGAGCAGGAGCCCAGAGTCAGCCTGGAGTAGGCGGTTGTGAGTGGTCCCGCCTTGGCTCTCAGCTGGTACCCACATGAGACCAGGGAAGAGACCAGACTTGTTTCTCAAACTACAGTGCTCCAAAACACAGCCAGAGAGACAGGCCCAAGCAGCCCGCATGCCATGCCTTGAGTTGTGAGGTGGCTTCCAGGCCAGGTGGCTCCAACCTGCACCCCGGCCAGGACCCCTTGGTGTTCCCAAAGGGTCTAGTCCAGAGCCCTGGGACCTGGTGTATTCCAGGGCACCTCACGAGCTTGCTGAGTGGTACATCGTGACAACCAGGTGTGGCCTGGATGAGTCACCAGGTGCTCAGTGCAGAGAAGCTGAGCTCCCTTTGGGTGCCCACACCGCCCTCTCCAGCCACCATTTTTGCACCCCCAAAGGGTTAACTCAGCCAGGTCTTGCCGGTGGCCTGTAGCACCTGCCTCCTCCTTGACGCTGCCCTCCCGTGTGTATCCATTCCTCCCATCTGCTGTTGACATTCATGAGAACACAGGGCGGACAATGGGGGCTGGACAGGCAGGCCAGACAGCATGGTCACCGTCGAGCCCTGCACTCTGACCCTCTCCCACTGCACCCCAGTCCTCTCCGTGCACTAACCCAGGCCACCTCGGCGTCTGATTTAAGGTAGCTGCGCAGCCAAGCAGGGCTTCCTGGGAAACGCAGGTAGGTTCCGCCAGAAGCCAAGAGCAGAGCTGCCTCCCGCCTGAAGCTGGTCTTTGCCCCCTTGGGGGGCGGGCAGGGCTGTGTTTGTGTGCTGTGTGCAACCACATTCCACCTGCATGTGTCCGTTTCTGTGGCTGTGCAGCTGAACACATGCACACACACACTTGTGTACACGCACATATACTTGCACATGTGTGTGTGCACCCATGCACGTGCACACACACACAGTTGCATATTAGATGAAAAGTCCCTTCCCCATGTAGCCAAGGACACTTTTGTTTCCTCTAAAACGGGCTTGCCCAGCAGCTAAGTGAATGGATTGACCACATTCGGCCTGAAACTAAAACTGCAAAGGCCCTGTTATCAAAGCCAGAAGGTACACAGAAGGTGCCCACTGAACAGGGCACAGGAGTCCTCCATGGCCTCGCCCAGAGCCTTGGGAAATGTTTCTCTTCCCCTCTGCTCTTCTGTGTACACCCCCACCGCATGCTGTACCTGTTTCCTCCTCTCAGAATTTGGGGCACCTGCCCAGCTGCCAAGTGTCCAGGCAGCCCAGGACCAGGAGTGCTGACAGGGCCCCCGACACACCTACCCACAGAGGCCAGCACGCCGTCCCCATTGTTTATGCCACGTGACAGGAAAATCACTGGGTCCAGCCCCCCTCCCGCCTCTGCAGCGGCCAGAGTAACTCTTTGATGCTGAAGGATGGTCTGTCGGCAGGTTGTCTCCTCTGAACAGGGGCCTCGGGCACCAAGGGGAGCCAGCTGTTGGTCCCTGGAGGGAGCACAGAGCCAGGGAGCAGGTCAGGGAGGCCCACCAGTCACGTCGTTCTCGGGGATGTCAGACTTCCGGGCAGCCTTTGGCCTCTCTTAGGCAGACGCCCTCCATCCAGCTGCCCAGAGTGGTCCCAGCCTCAGGCTTCAATCAGGGGAGGCCACCATGCACCATCTGCTCACCAGGCTTTCTTCCTCCCAGGGCCCTGGCCGCAGACTGCCAGGGTAGCATCCCCAGCCAGCCACCCAGCTGGGCTGTGGGTGGGCTGAAGTCTGTACCCACCACCATTAGCCTGGACCGGAGAAAACAGCTGCAGGCCAGCCCAGGGGCCAATTGTCATCACAAAGGGTTTTGAGAGTGCAGTGCTAAGTTAGAAACACTGAGTCCAGGAAGCTCTCCGCTTGGAGAGAGCCACTGCCAGGCCCTCACAAACCCTGGATCAGTTGCTTCTTCACTGTGGAAGGCCTGCTTCACACGGGCAGGTATTTGGTGGTTAGTACAGGAGGGACACCACCCAAAGGACAATGGTGCAGGCCCAGCATCTGTGGCTTCGTCCATGGTTTTGGAACTGGAGTCATACAAGGCGATCATTAACTGTGTTAAAAAGTCAGCATAGGCTCCGGCTCAGCACCCCCATGGCCTTGTGCCGTGCACCCATGGCATCACATCACTGTAGGCACCCCTCCTCAAACGGCACCCACCTGGTGCCAGGTGCCTGCTTGTCAGCATGTGGCAGGTGCCGGTGAGTTCTACTGCCCCACCAGCTCCTGGGAACTCAGGCCTAAACCTTCAAGTCCCACTTTCTGAGCCAGCCCTGTAGAGTGTCTGATGCATTTGCACAGTCCCCCTCAGGCGCCTCCCAAAGAATCCAGCCTCAGGTTTGGATCCTGGACAGGGTGGCCCGTGCCTGCCAGTGTGCATGGCCACCTTAGAACTCCCCACCACCCCACCCACACCTGCCCTCGAAATCCTCTTCACCAGAGTCATGCTAGGTCCTACCTACCTTGGATTTGGGTCACCCCACCTCCCCACCAGGTGCTTGTTGAGGCACTGCTGGACACGGGCCCTGGGGTGCAGGTAGCACTCCCAGGCGGGAGGCCAGCTGCAGTCAGAGGAAGGGCTCAGGGCTCGGGCAGCACGGGACTGCTATGTGAGGAGCTGGGACTCTTCCCAGGGACCTGTCACTGGAGGTGTCACTGTGCTGGAAGCAGAGGCGAAGGTTAGCCAGGCGAGAGCCCAGAGTCACCCCAAACACAAGCAGATCCCCTTCCCGTCTTCCCTGGGGTCTCCTTATCAATTCTGTCCTGGGTACTGTCTATGGGACCAGTCTCTGAGAGACAGTGGCCTCACCTGCAGGCCCTGCACAGGCCCGTGGCCTCTCAGCTATGGGGAGGGACCCTGCCCATAGAGTCCCCATGTGCCAGTCAGTGGTGGCTACCACGCTGCATGTCTTTCTCACACGGAGACAGACACGGTGCTCTTGAGAGGGTCAGCAACAGCAAGGCTTCCAATTGGGCCGCAAGAGACACCGTGGAGGGAAGGCAGGGTCAAAGCTGGGTGGTAACGAAAGGAACCAGCCAGAAAGTTGGCAGCGACCACTGACCACCAGCACCATGCCCAGGAGCCTTCACTGTCTGGTTGTAGCGTCCAGTGCGTGAGCGCGTCTGTTGCCCACTGCCCTTTAGAGAAAATGCTTTGGGATCCTCAGGACAGTGGGCTGCACAAGTGGCTTCTGGAAAGTGCTGTCAGAAATTGCAGTTCCCTCCTTCCCACTGGGATGTTCCAGCCAGTTAGAGGCCCCCGGGCTGGCTGTCACAGGAGCAGGCCTGAACCTTGCTCTGCCTTGGTTTACAGAGGGCATCCGAGTCCCCTAAAGCACCTTGCCCCATGGCTAGGGGTCAGGCACGGACCACCTTGCCCTGCAGCCTTTCCTAGAACTCTGAGCAGCAGCCCACAGTGCTCCACGGCCGTGTGACGTTGCGCACTGTCCCTTCATCGGTTGAAGTTGAGGATCTGCGTGTTACACTGGGCGGGTGTGCCCGCTCTCCCCCACCCACACAGCCCGCCCTCCTCGAGTGCTCCCGGGCGTGCCAGCTTTTCCTCCTGTCACTGCTGTTCCCACCACAAACTCACAGGCAGTTTGGTTCTTCTGTCCTCTGAGGTTTCTGACTGAGACCAGGGGTTGCTGACGACCCCAGTCCCTCTATCCCAACAGGGCTGAGTCGCTGCTGTCTGCCCTGGCGAGGCCGCACACACTGCCCACTTTGGTTCTTAGATGTCCTCATGCTGCCTTGTCCTGGGGGGCAGGTGGGGACTGGCTTCTGTCTGCCCCCACACTGTTGTCGTGTACATACATGTGGGCCCCGCAACCTGTCCCCGACACTCTCGATGCTTAGCATCCGTTGCTGTGCTGTGTCCCCTCCCTCTGTGTTACCTCTCTCTGTTCCATTGTTAAAGGCTTTCTATGATCTGTCGCTGTGTTTTCCTCTAGTCAGGAGTGGCAGGAAAGGACGCCGGCGTGTGTTCAGCCTGTCGGAAGCCGACAGTCACGGCGGCCACTGGGTTTAGTGCTTGGAGCGGCAGCTGCCACGGCGCCTCACGTACAGTCACCTCAGGCAGGTCTCCGCTGCTAGCCTCCTCGAGCCCCAGTACCCACAGCCACAACCGCCAGCCTGGGCCAGGAAGGTGGCCGAGCTGGGCCCGGGGAGGGCGGCCGCCCCAGGCTGAGGCCTGGAGAGCTGCTCGCCAGAGTCAGCCCTTCCTGCCCCAGTCCCTTCCTGGCCTGTGCGGTCAGAGAACAAAGCCCCTGAGCTCCTCTCCCGTGGTTCTCCCGGACACACTGTCCATCCTGTGAAACACCCACCAGCATCAGTGTCCACACAGGGCCCCCCAGTATAGGCCACGGAGGTTGGGCAGTAATTGGCTAGAGAATGGAGACTTTGTCAAAAAAAAAAAAGCAAAAAGTCAAGTCATTTCTTTTCTCTCCCGGCTGTCTGTCTGTCTGTCGAGGTGTCTTCTTCCACCTGGGCTTGGCTTGTCCGCAGGGAGCCTTTGCCTCCTTTGAGTTTCAGAGCTGTTATTTGTGCTTCGCCCTCTGACTAGCTGCACCCTTCTCTCCTCCCCTCCCTCTTCACCCTCTGACTAGCTACACCCTTCTCTCCTCTCCTCCCTCCCCTCCCTCACCTTTTCCCAGCCTCAGCACATCAAATCCAGAGTTTTCCTGGAAACTGGCACTCAGTTCACAAGGGCCAGCTGAGTCCCAGCCCCAAGCTACAGATCAGCTTCCAAGGGGGCTGACTGCTCCAGGGATGTGGGGACCCATAGCTTCGGTGTCAGCCCAGGCCAGAGCCACAGGCAGGCCTGTCTTCTCTGTTGGAAACCTGGCCTGGAGGCCCATCCCACCTCACTCCCTTCCCCTGGCGATAGGGGCTTTAGCGGTGACCTCAGCAGTAACCAGAAGACGGTCCTCAGGGCGTCATCCCCCCACACACACCAGTAAAAGCCTGTCAGAGTTCTCCTCCCTCACCCCCTGGGTGGACAGTTATAAATCACCTTCAGGAACAAGTTGTTTTTTTTTTTTTAAATGAGGACAGTATTGTGGGTGATGGGTGAGAGATTATTGTTCCCAGGAGCTCTGGTAGCATAGTGGCTAAGGCACTTAACTGCTAACCAGAAGGCTGGAGGTTCAAACCCACCAGCCACTCCTTAGAAGGAAGGTTGGGCAATCTACTTCTGTAGTGATACCGCCTCCGAAACCCAAGGAGGGGTCACTGTGAGTCGGGACCAACTCAATGGCACATAACAACAACAACAACATTATAAAAGAAGAAAAGAATTTGTTTTTTAAGGGACAGAATTGACGTTTTTTATGAAAATTGTTGGTTCTTTTCCAAAAGACGAACCCAGCTCTGTGTACGTGGTATTTGTTTGTCTGCTTTTTAATATATTTGAGTGCACCTCTCCCACATCCTTGATTTTCCTCATCACCAAAAACCCCACCAGGGGTCAGGGACAGAGATTGACAGCTCTTCTGAATATCGCCATGCAAACGCAGGCCCGAGCGAAGAGGGGGCTCTGGCCTCCAGGGCTGGCGGAAATGCTTTGCACTCGGCCCCCAGATGGCACGACGGTGCCATTTGCAGAACGGTCATCCCCGAGCCTCTTGTCAGCAGCTGAGCTTCAGGGCGCACAAGTGGGTGTTGCCATTTGTAGATGTCACACTGCTGGGTCAGACGTGACTCTGAGCACTTCGGAAAGCAGCCCCCCACAGGCCCCCTGACTGACAGGAGCAGCAAGCTGAGTGCAGCCCACAGAAAGCGGAGTGGCCATGGTGCCGGCCCAGCGCCTGGGCCCTGAGCACACCTCACGTTACTCTGCATTGCCGCCCACGGCCACTGCCCCTCCCTGCACGAGGACCGGCCCAGGCCCCATGGACTGGTTTCCTTTTTCCTTTGAGGGGTGGGGAATCTTTATGATGAGTTAGAACCTTCTAGAACTCATCTTGGAATGAACTCTGACGTGCGCTTGAGGAGCCCCATCTGCCGATGGGCCTTCTCCCCGGGGCGGGGCGTCTCTTCCTCTCCTCATCCCATGCTCTGTGCCATTTGGTTTGACTTTGCGCCTGTTTTTTCCTTTATTTTGCTCTGTGTTTGGTTTGCTGTTATATTTTGGCTTAACTTTTTTAAAAGCAAAAAACAAACCTAACTGAAGTCACATTGAACAACAACAAAAAATTGTCTGCCGTCGTTCCCAAAGCTCCAAGTGTTTTCCCACTTACAGCCCAACGGTGTAGTCGGCACCTTTGGCGGTGGCCTCTGACCCATGACCTGTAGGACTTTGCTTTCCAAGTGGGATGCCCACAGCACTTCTTACAAGTGCTTGTCAATTGCATCTGAAGTCCCGGAAGACATTTCTCACCATGAGCTCCAGGCCCGCCTGGCGTCTCTGCGCAGGCAAGGCGGCATTGGAAAGCAAATCAGCTGGGCGTGTACCCTGATCCAGGACCCTGAAAAGCACTGCAAAAAGAAGCTACTGCTCCAAAAACAAGTGCTTCAGGTGGAGCCGAGCCTGCCCTCCCCCTGCCCAAGCCCCTTGGGAAGTTGAGAGCAGTGGCCCTGGGCCACCCCAGCCCTTTTCTGGTGTGAACTCGGCGCCTAGAGGAAAGAGAGGCAAACCACAGTCATGGGATTTGTTTGGATTTGCAAGCTTCAAAGTTTTCCAGAATTCCCTTTTTTTTTTTCTTTTTTTAATTGCAGCATGTCCCTCTCGGGTCAGTGTCACCAAATTTAGACTCTGGAACCAGCCCGTTTCCTCCCTGAGCCTATGTTTCTCAGCATGCTGGTGGGACAGGACTCGCCCCCAGAAGGCCTTCACGGGCTTTCCTATGCACCGAGGAAGTTCAGACCCGCAGCTGATTTTGCACGAGCCCCTGTTTCTTCCCTTGTCACAAATCAGGGTGACCCTGGGCCCCAGCAGATTCCCCAGGCCCCATGGTGAGACTGGCTCTGGCAGCTTCTGCTTCCCTGAAAAGACCTAGAGGGGACAGACTCTGTCCCCAGCACCAGGCACTTCCCACCTGGATCCTGGGACGTACACAGGCAAGGACTCCTAGGACAGGCCCTCGTGTGGGCAGAGTGCCAAGAGCTAAGTATATCTGTGTTTTCTCTCCCCCTACCCAGATGACCCCAGGACTCCCGAGCAGCCTCAGCCTCACCTTCCCAACCAGTTGGTGATCGTCCACGAGACGGAAGCAGACCCCAAATCCAGCAAGAGCCTGGAGAGGAGCGCAGATGCAGAAACAGCCACCCTGTCCCCCAGCCTTATCCCTGCCCCACAGCCCACCATCTCCCTGCTCTACGAGGACACTGCTGACACGCTGAGTGTAGACTCACTGACCCTCGTCCCTCCCGTCGACCCCCACAGCCTGCACACCCTCACCGCCGTTCCCCCCCCTCCCACTGCCACCCCGGACAAGGAGGCTGCTCTCCTGGAGTCAGCGGAGCCCGGCGAGCACTGAACCCCCGCTGTGGGCCTCCCCGTGCAGGCCTGCCAGGGCCCCCGGGAGGGTGACTGAAGGGCACCGTGGAGCCCCCGCAGCAGCCCCCGCAGTCATCACAGCCCCCTCTCCTGTGCCCCCTCGAAACGGACACTCGGACACGCCCTTTTCTTTGCATCCCTTCACAAACAGGCTGGGACCAGTGGGGATGACGTCGGGCTCCTTGTCTCTGAGCCTGACGCCCCAGGGTGGGCTCCTGCCACCCTCTACTGTGGCCTCCTTGGTCCTCTGTCACCGTCTGTGGTTGCCCAGGGGAAATAGACAAGGCCACTTTGGGAAGAAACGTGTGGAAGAGCAAACTGAGACATTTCCTTTGGATATTTATTTCTGCTTTTGGCTGCAGATGAAAGCGTTTATTTAAAAAGTCCAAAAAAGCCCTCCACCCTCAGGTTTGCTGTCATGTTAAAAGTGTAACTTGACTGTTAGGATTTCACTTTTGTTCTCCTTGAAGTTCCCAATGTTTTGTTTTCGAGTTCTCGGTGTGGTTTTCTCCGTTTTCTTCAGTGAGAGTTACCTCTCTGTGGTTCGCTAGCTCTGCCGGCTTGTGGGATGAGAGAGCCCCTTCCTGGAAAGTTGAGATTAGTTTTCAGACAAAAATAAGGGAGACCCATGTATTCTCAGGTACTCAGAGAGCTGAGGGGGCTGAAGTGACTCCGCCGTCGCCAGGAGCCTTGCATGACCCAGTGAGATCTTTCCGTGGCGAGGGCAGGGTGCGTCCCGCTCCCCGACTCGGCTGCCTCCTCGGCTCTCACTCACAGTAACCGAGCCGGAACAGTCTTCAAGCTTCATTTTTCTTCATTGCCACCTTTGCCTGAGAAAGGAGCACCTGATTCTGGGAGACCTGTGGACCGGACGCTGTGGTGGAACTACAAGGAAGGGAGGCGGGCTGTAGCATCTGTCTACCTTGCAGGATTGCACGTGTTCAGGGAGACGGTCTTTAGCATCTGTCTACCTTGCAGGATTGCACGTGCTCAGGTACAGAGACCAGGAGCCAGCTCTGTCCCCAGCTGCGTGTGCCTGACGCCCAGGCCTTTCGTAGTGATTCTGAGAGTGGGCACCGGGTTTGGGTTTGTTGTTCCTCCTCACCGCTGCCGCCACTAAGATGCAAGCTTGCTTTTGAGATGAAAGCCCCTTTGCCCTGAGTCTGTGCCGGTCGATAGTGAGAGGTACTGAATGCAGCCCCCAAGATTATGCTCTCTCCTCAGCTGGTTGCCTCAGATTCAGTAACCAGGTGCAGCTGGAGTGACTGCTCCCCTGTCTCTGGTCAGTGATGAAGCCTTACACGGCTGCCCGCCAGGGCACTAGTGTGTCCCTAGGAGTGGACGCACTGTCCCAGGCCAGTAGCAACGTGGGCCTGACCATGGCACGGGCTTCAGGGGACGTGGCTGAGAGCTTGTGACCTCCCTGTCAGAGGACTCAGGATTGTGTCCCCTTGCCTGTGAGAGCAGCCCCAGTCGCCAGCCTTGGGAAGGTGTGTCCGCTCACACACCGTGGCCACAAGGCAGCTGGACCTTTGTTGCAAGACCAGCCTGGAAAGGTGGCCATTTAGACAGGGCTGGCCCAGGAGCCTAACCTAAGGCCCCAAGCGCCTTGTGCTGGGCACCAGAGGAGGCAGGCAGCTGCCTTGGCCATAATGAGAGGCGCCAGTCACTCCGGTCTGTGCTCTTTTGGCAGTAGTGAAGACAGCCGCAAATGTAACAGCTGGTGGGGGCACCTTTGGAAGACCTCTGAGCTTGGGGCCTAGCACCTCTGACCCCTGGGTCAGCCGCAAAAGCCCACCAACCCATCATCGCTGCGTCCTCGCAGAGAGGGGCTAAAGCAGACTCCACATCCTTGGTGGCCTGGTCCTCCCACCCCGAGTCCACCATTGGGTGCGTCCAAACCGGGGAGCAGGGCAACTCCGTGATCCCAGCCTGCTCGGGAGCCCACCACTGCACGCAGGCGAGGGTGACCGAGGCTGGAGTGGGAGGGAAGGATGCTACCGGAGCCTGGCCTCTGGTAGCCTGTGGGCCCAGGCCAGCCACAAGGGGCCCCACGGCCATGGGTAGGCCCTATCCTTGTGCCCCTCACCTCCGTCAGGCCTGCCCGCATGGTGCCTTCTCCATGCAGAGGGCAGCCACCTTCCACCACACTCGCTTGGGGCCTTCAACCAGGGGGGTAAGCGAAGACATGCACCCATTTAAAGATGTGCACCAGGTTTCACTGAAGTCCCAAGACGCTCTCTGGAAAAGGAAGGCCGGGCCAACGGTGATAACGTGAGACATTTACTGGTGTTTTGGCGGCATTTGGCACAAACTGCAGGAGCTGCTTCTGTTCCTTCCAGCTGAAAATACGTAAATAACCCCTGTCCCAGGGAGGGCTGGGGGATGGGAAACCGCGCTGAGCCGAGGGACCATTCTAGGGAAGTACCTGCTCTCACCAGCATGACTCATGCTTCGTGGGTACTGAACACAGGGTGGAAATGAAAACTGGAACTTCCTTGTAAATTTCAACTTGGCAATAAAAGAGAAAATGTTACAAGAATGCGGTGTGCTATTCCTCGGCGCCGTGGGGGCACCTCTGCCCGGCAGAGGTTAGGTGTTGACCTCTAACCCCCTCGGCCTGCTGCAGCCCCTCCAGGCCCACTGGACCACATCTGCTCCTCATTTTATCCTAAGAGAGCACTGGACTCCTTCTTCCCAGGCTGGGAATAAATTCTCAGGGGCCAGGGCCACCATTGAGGTGCTGCAGCCCTACCCAGTTCAGCCAGCAGAGTCCTTGTTTTGCATCAGTCACCTGTGGGGCAGATGGCTTTGCCTGAACCTCAGGCTCTACGTCTGGGGAATGAGGTGGTGACAGAGCCCAGGGCCCCCAAGGTCTCAGGGGCACCAGCATTATGGCTGCTGGGCCAGGGAAAGCCGGGTGTCCAGAGAGAGGGACTTGGGTAAAGCTCCCTCCCACCAGGGGAGGAGAATTTCGACCCATAGTCACCCCCTTTGGGTTTCCTAGGCTGTCAATCTTTATGGAAGTAGAGTGCCCAGTCTTCCTTCCACAGAGTGGCTGGTGGGTTTGAACCGCTGACCGTCAGCCCAGTGCCTAATCCGCTACACCACCAGAGCTCCTTCCTGGGAGGGAGAGTCGAGGTGCAGTCAGTGCTGGCTGGGCCCGGTTCCAGAGCACACCAGCCACAGTCACGTGAGTCCCAGAAGTCCCTGACGCAGGGGCAGAGGTTCTCAGGAATTGCTGACGCTCTAGCTTAAGTGGCCGCATACCAGCTGTCCCCAGGCCGCTCCAGATGAGGAGCTCTGCCGCACCAGAGCATCAGGGTAAAACCCCAGTTGGGATCAGATGATGAAACGGGAGTTCGTCGCACCAGGACTGACGGGAGGCTGACCAAAGGTGGACTTCCGTATGTGAGCCCCGGTCTCTGACCAGCTCCCCGCTAGCTGACCCTCGAGGCCCAGCCCGGAAGGTGTCTGGATCCCTCGAGTGGGGGTTGGAATCCTGCTCTGCACTACGGCCTGGTCACCGAGGAAGTGTCCATTAGTGACCAGGGCATCCCACCCATCACTGCAGCAGCCCTGCCAGCGGGCACCAGGGCATTTGTCCATGTGTGTCGATGACTTCAGTGTAGAACAGGGAATTGGCTGGGAGGAAGTCCAGGAAGAAGGCAGAACACAGGCCTCAGGGAGGACAGGACCAGTGCTAGAGCTGTCGGCCCAGCTGCCCCTCCACCCTTGAGTCCATTGATGGTCTCAAGAGACTCACACGGCCCAGGGCCACGGCATCCTGGGCTGGGGGATATGGGTGGGGCAGACACCTGCAGGGAGAAACCGAGGTTCAGTGGCATTGAGTAGTAAGGATCCCCACGTGGGAACCCAGGCCTGCACCAGCTGAAACTCCTGATTGCTGTTCACACACTCCGGAGTCATTGGCAGGAAGAAGACGGAAAAACATTGTTCTCCAGCTAGGAATGGGTGTTGGAATCATTTGGAACACTTGTCCAAAAGCCAGAACCACGCCCCCGAAAGACCTGGTCTGACCCACGAGATGACAACAGGCTGAGAGCTCTTTGCCGGAGCCAGGTTCCTAGTAGGTACTCAGTGAATGGAGGCCCTTCCTCTTCGGTCATCAAGCATCTTCCCAACTCCACCGGGCCTGAATTTTTGCTCTGCCCCACGCCAGCTGTGTGGCCTCGACCAAGTCACTCACCTCTCTGAGCTTGCGCTTCCTCACCAGCAAAACAAGGAGGTAGCGATACCGGGTGCCGGCCCACAGTGGTTAGGTTCAGAGGCTTGCTCTCATGCAAAGTGCTCAGCCCAGGGTGGGGCTTCAGAAGCCAGGCCTAGCGGGCACGGCACACTCAGCTTCCCCCCCGCCCTCCCAGCCAGGTTCAGGCCAGGACTCACCATTCACTTGTTTGGCAGCCTCTCGGGTCTCAGTTCCAGCTCTGTTGGGCTGGGCCGGGAACCGACATCTCGGGCTTTGAGGCTTGGACCAGAATGCACGTGACCCATGCCTATCTCCAACTGACCACATGGGTCACAGCTGCTGCCGGTACTGCCCAGGGTATGTACACCTTCTGGCTCCTGGAAGTAAGAGGAGGCAGCAACGGTGGGCTGCAGTCCTGCCTGTGGACTGGCCTCAAGTTGCTGCACTCAAGGGGAAGACCCCTTTCCAACCGACTGCTGGAAACCCCCTCCCTCCTGCCCTGCCTTGTGGCTCTTCAGGGCATTGGGGGAAAAAACCCTCAACAGCTAACGTGCTTTTCTCCAAAGGAAGGTCGGTTCTGAATCACTGAGCCAGGAACATGTGGGGCTTCCCGGGGATCCACTCCCAAACTTGCCCCTGGAACCCTGCCCATGGACCCCCTTGTGCTCCAGATGCCCAGCTCTGTGATTTGCTTCCAGAAGGGCACACGACCCAGCCAGCAGCCCAAGCCCACCTCGACACGTGCCGCTCAGCACCCACCTGTTCCTTCC